CTGGCCACAGACCAAGAGACAGCACTGCTGCAGTCAGTAGATAATCTCACTGCCTATCTGGTCATCTGTATCCACTGCCAAAGAAAGAGCCAGGTCACCTGGTCAGCTAATGGTCTCCACTGTGAGGGACAGTGGCAGAATCTCAGTTTGATAAAGACTCCATTTGTTGCCTTTTAACTGCTGTCAAATTGTGGATTCCTCTTCTTTTCTTCAACAGACACTGACCAGTGTTCAGGATGTGTCAGGCACTGTTGCAGGCACCGGGGTGCAGGTGGGAGCGATCCTGCTCGTAAGGAGCTTACATTCTATGGAGGCTCAGGGGCTGTAACGTAGGTAAACAAATACCTGGCATATGCAGTGTTCAGATGTGCGCGCAAGAGGAAGGGGCAGAGAGATGGGAGTATGGAGGGTGGGACACGTTAGCCTCTTAAATAAAGCAGTCAGGGGAGGCCCTTTTGAAGGGCAGCAGGGAGGGAAGAGTGAGCCGTGCGCTCTGTGGGGGAAGATCCCAGGCAGAAGGCTCACGCGCAGGCTTTGAGCAAGACTGCAGATGGCTCCAATTGGGAGAGACACACAGGGCGGGCGTAGTCTTTGCAGGGTTTTGGCTTTTGTGCTGTGATGGCAAGTCACCGCTTTGTGTAAAGTAGCCCTCTGCTGTTCGGAGATATGTTCTGAAATAGCTGCTTTTGCTGCTTGTCCTCATTATAGTAACAGGATGCTTTGGTCTTGGGCAGATTCTACGTACATCCACCCTAAAAACCTAGGTACGCCTCACCTTATGTGAAGCATAGATCCCAGGAGTACATACACATACATGTATATATACACACACACACATGCACACACACACACCATTGAGGTGCTCATTGGGAGGGATAAAAAGTATACAGTACATCATTTGTATATACATAATTAGTGTTTGTGGGGTCCTCTTGTTTTCCCCCAAGAGTAAAATAGCAAAATTCCAATTTCAACATATTGTTTTGCAAAAAAAAAGTCCCATTCTGGCCTGTGTGGAGAGCATGGCGTCTTTGCTGTTCCTGTGTTTCCGTGTCTCCTGCTCAGCCTGGCGCCTGTCCTGCTGCTCCTGAGGACTCCTCCTGCCCTTCTGCTGGACTCAGGGAGGCAGAGCAGGCCTTCTGGGAAGGAAGCAGCCTGCATAGCTGATCCAGGTGCCTGGCACACTGCTTTGAGCAGCCATGGGAACGTGCAAGGCTGTCTGCCCAGAGCATCCTTGCCTCAGCGGTGCTCTCTGGGGTGAGTGTGGAGCCTGAGTGTGCTGGTGTCTCCGGGTTTAACCACCCTGGACCCGCCCCTGTGAAAACTGGGTGCCATTGCAGAACCAGGCTCTGCTGGCAGGGCCAGCACTGTGGAATGGACATGGGCAGTACTGAAGCCCTACCAAAATGGGCCACTTGCTTTTAAAAGGATGGTCAGAGTCGGGAGTAGAAGAGAAGGGGGTGCCCGGAGGTCTTCCAAGAGCGTGACTTCAAGGCTTTTAGCAAGGGGCCCAAAGTGCCGGCCACCTCCAGGTCCTCTGTACCCGCCTCTCCTCTCTCAGCCAGAGGAGAGGTCACCTCCACTGTCCATCAGGGCCATGGCCAGAGCTCGCTTGCTCAGCCACCAAAATACATTTTCTTCTTATTGGAAGTATTAAAAGAAAAAAGGACAGAACACTGGAGGAATTTAACTTGCGAAGTGCCACTAAGACGAGGGCTACAAACCATGTCACAAAGAAAGAAACTTCAAATATGCAGCAGATGCCTTCAGTTTTTACTCGAGGTCTCTTAGTAAACAAAGACTCACAGAGAGTAGAAATTACACACACTGGTTTGGCAGTCTTTTTTTTTTTTTTTTCCTTGCACAAATTTCCCACCACTGAAGGTACAGCCCTTTTTTCTTAATTAACACGAAATATAATTGGCTAGGTGAAGTCTGTTTCTGGGTCGTATTTTGCAAAATAAGCTTAGGTATGCTGGAAGGAGCACTGATGTCCTCATGGCCCCTCCCCAGAGACAAGCTGGGTGCCACATGGAGGATTTCCATGCCCTGAGGTTGCCCATGGGGCAGGGAGAGTCCTTATCTCATGCTAAATTCATGATAGTACTTCTGGAATTAATAAAGCAAGTCATTTTGGAAAATATTAGATTTGTAAAGTAATAGATTCAAATGACCCTGGGTGTTTAGAGGTAAAGGAAAGCTCACAGTAACTTAGTGAATAGAAAATATTCATTTAAGAGGAAAGGTAGGGTACTAGAAACCATGAACAGAAAAAGAAAATCAAGCTCTCAGTTAAAAAAGAAAAGATAGTTACACATCCCCACTCGCAGAGGGTATTTGCACAAACAGCAAAAAGCACTTAAATCTTCAAGGCTCACAGTGGAGCTCAGGGTGTAAATACTGCTCTGTGGAATGTTTTCAAATTATAAAAGTAATTTCAATACCACAGGTTGCACTTGGCTTGTAAAATTTCAACACAACACTGTACAAAATCTACAAAGAGAATACACTAAAAACACCTTTCCTTAACAATGTATTATTTCTAAAAAAAATTAATAACCCAGGCAACCCATGTGCAGGAGATTCGAATTTCTGAAATAACCTCCACAGGGGTTTAGAAGTATCGAGATCCTTCTGGAAATGTCTTGTCCCTTAGACAATCTGCTTTTCCTGGAACGAGACCCCCAGCCAGATTGGAGGGGGATGCTGCTCAGGGACAGGACAGGGGTGGCACAGCAGAGTCCGTGCTGAGGGAGCCCCTTGGTCCTCACGTCATTTACTGTCGCGGACATAGCGTGGAATAGCTCCTGTCTGCGCCTGAAGCTAAGAGGGTGTAAGGCCAGCAACCAAGTGCAAAGCGCTTAAGATCGTGCTGTTGGCGCGGGGTCAGGGCACTTCCCAGCACGGAGGGCGCTGCCTGGCACAGGTTTAAACCCTGCCTGACGGATGGGTCTCGCGCACAGCTGGAAGGGCCCTGGTGTCCCAGGCTGGGGCTGTGTCTCCTCTTCATCACACAGCTGTCCTCAGAGGACAGGGTGCAGGCAACTTAGCAATGCAAGGAGATGACTCATCATGGTTTTTTGTTAGTACATATGACATGCTGCCCTGTGGAAGGCTTTCCTCCATGACAATGGACAGGTTTTAGTCTTGCATTATCTTTAGTTTTTAAAAGCCTGGCAGAGAGCACGAGGAAAAGATTTGCACAGCCAGTTTTGGAAATGTCTCGTGGGTTGTTTTAACATTAAGATGTGAGAAAAGAAACATAAATGGATGCCTCCTTGGCATTATATGTATTGGGGTTCAGTACCTAAACGTGAGTTTGAGCATTTTTAAGGTGAACTGTCTCTGCTTCCTACGGGGGAGCAGTGCTAGTGGCAACATCTACACAGGAAGTGAGTCTTCCCGTGACCCACAGTTTTGGAGGGCAAGGCAGCCCTCAGGGTGACACAATGGAATGAATGAGTCCAAACCAGCTGCCACAGACTCCCCTGATGTGAGATGTTTTTTAAATCCCCCCCCTTTTTTTCTGAGCCACAAAAGTGCTACTAGGGACACAGATGCAGTAATTACCACACATCAGAAGTATCTTGTCTGGCATTAAAAGTAAAACTCCGAGAAAGAAAATGTCTTAAAGGTTCTATTTAATAAATAATTTTGATTTAAGGAATCTCTTATGCAAAACTTGGATTAAATGACTGGAAACTCGATAGGCTGTGGAATAATTAAAAACAAAAAAGAAATTACTCACGGGAGATACTCAGTTATTTTATTGTAACTTTTCAAACAAGTAAAAAAAAAAAAAACAAATTCCCTCCCCATTTTTGCTTTTTAGCTTTTGGGGCTTCCTGGAAGAGAAGCCAGTGCCCAGGGAGACAAGTCCCGCCCTCCCACGGTTTCTCAGGATACCTGACTGCAAAGCCAGGTGCTTTCTCCTTGCTTGGGCTTTCAGGGGTGTGGACGTGCGCTCTGGTGAAGGAGGGTTGCACCCATCTTTTCCGTACCCCTGGGGACAAGCTCTTTCCTTAGCACGGCTGGGTCAGCGCCTAGAGTCCTTGGTTGGGAACGGCTGTCTCCAGAGGTAATCTCGGAAGGGCGGTATATTGCTGCTCAAGACAGGGGGAGCTAAGGACACATTTTTTTCCCTTAATTTTCCTCAAGAAATGTAAGAGGCACCAAAAGAGAGCCCACTCAGAGCTTGGCTGCTTCCATGATGTATTATGGAGCCAGAGGCAGGGCCAGTTCTAGCTTGTGGGGGGCACCCAGTCACAGTGCACCCCGTCACCTGGTTGAACCCAGATGGATGCAGGTGGGGTGGGATGGATTTCCTCTCTTTCCACTCTCTCAGCAGCTTTGCTATGCACAGAGGCTGGGCCGGGTCGCAGAGCAGGCTCCCAAGGCTTGCACAGCGACCTTGCCTGCTTCCCGGGATACCGATGTGGTACAGCCTGCCAAGGGCCACGTGGAGATTGTTCCCTCTGGCAGTGTCCTTAAAGGGGAAAATGTGAGTGGGCTGTCATATTTGCTCCTACGTGGGCCTATCCGAATTGTCAGGACAGAACCTAGCGTTCTGGACCCAGGATGTCTTTGGAAAGCTCCAGTCACCTGAGCTGCCAGGCACCAGGCGCCACCACAACGCTCTGGGCGCTCTGCGAGGTAGGTTGTCCGGTGCCCGTCTGCGGTCGCCCGCGGCGTGGATGGCAGTGTCAGTGTGGCTGAGCCGGAGGCTGGGCGCGGGGGTTCTGCTTAAGGAAATGGAGCCGAGGAGTGTTCTCCAAAGACCACAGGGACCCTTAGAGCATCAGCGGGCGCCAGGTACCTGCTCTCCGGAGACCCGGGCTGGAAAGCGGGTGGGGGCCCTGGAGAAGGCGCCACCCAGCTCCAGGCTGCGCGTCTCAACCCTGGGTGCCACCAAGCGCACGCAAGCGACCGCTCCCTGGAAGAGGTCGGTCGCTAGGTTAGTGAGAAAACAAGAACGGGGAAAAAGCACGTAAAAGACTCCCTTCTAAAAACAAAGGGCTGCGAATCTCTTTATTTCTCTTATAGAGGAACAAAAATACTCTTGCAATGGCTATTGAGTTTCCACAGGTACGAGGCAGATGCTAGGCTAGCACACCCATCCCAACAGTATGACTTGTTTCCTATCCGTCTACTACCTGAGTGGCGTCAGTGTAGGTTCAGGCACCATTAGGAACGTTTGACCAACACACACGGCACTGACAGAGGCGGCGCCGCCTTCCGGTGGACCAGGGCGTGTAAAAAAGACACCGACAGAATGAAAAGGACTCCCGGGCCGGGCAGGCGCTCAGGGCCGGGCCGCGCGCGCCTCGCGCCGCCGCCGCAGCTCCTCGCGGTAGCAGCACGAGCAGAAGTGCTCGGTCTCCGCGCGCCCGTAGAAGGCGCAGTTCTCGCGCACGCAGCGCCGCTGGGCCGGCCCGGGGCCGCCGCGGCCGCACTCACCGTTCGAGCGCGCGGCGGGCGCGTCGGCGTCGGCGAACTCCAGGCCGTCGCGCGCCGCGCCGAAGCCGTCGGGGTAGGTCTGCGACTTGTGCTCGGCCGCGCCCGCCGGCCCCGACACGCCGGGGAGGGCGCCCGGCACGGCGCGCGCCAGCGACTCCACCGTGTTCACCGTGCGCAGCGCGGCGGCGCGGGCCGGGCTGTAGCTCTGCGACGACAGCGAGCGGTTCTGCTGCGGGTAGGTGGCGCACGGCCGCAGGGCGCCCACCGCCGGCGCGCACGCCTCGTCCCGCGCGCCCGCCGCCTGCACGTGGATGACGCTCTGGCGCCCCGGCGGGCTGCGGCCGGGGCCCGGTCCGCTCGCCCCCGCGCGCCGCGCGCCCCCGCCGGGGCCCGGGGAGGCCGAGCCGCCCGCCGCCGCCCGCCCCGCCCGCGCTCCCGCCGCCGCCGCCGCCGCCGCCGCCCCGGGGCTCGGGCGCTCCTTGAGCTTGAGCACCAGCTGCGTGGGCTGCGTGGGCTGCGCGGCCTGCGGGCCCGGCGAAGCGCGCTCGGCGCCCGGCGCGCCCTCGGCCTCGGGTCTGCGCGGCGGCCGCTTGGCCGCGGAGGCGGCGGGCGCGGGCGCGGGCGCGGGCGCGGGGGCGGTGTCGCGGCGCCGCTGCTCCTGCTCGGCGCTGAAGCGCTCCTGCGCGCTCGTCAGGTAGTAGCCGATCATCTCCTCGTGGAACTGGTGCCGGTGGCTGGTGAGCAGCAGCCCGGCGAAGATGAACTTGCGCTCGCCCTGCATGGCGGCGCGCAGGATGTTGAGGCTCAGCTTGACGTCCGTGCTGTACTTCCAGGCGTCGCCCCGCGGCCCGCCGCTCTTCTCCGCCGGCGACGCGCCCGCCGCCTTGTCCGTGGGCGACGGCGTGGTCTTCTCCGACGGCGACGTGCTGGCCGACGCGCCCGACTCCTCCTTGCTGCCCTTGCGGGACTTGGCCTTCTTCTCCTTGCCGCGCTCCGCCGCCGCCTCGCCGTTCTTGCCGTTGGCGGAGTTGGAGCGGCCCATCTTGCCGTGCACCAGGCCGCCCAGCCCGCCCATGTTCTTCTTCAGCTTGATGCCCAGCGTCTTGCTGAAGCTGCCCAGCTTGTTGGCCACGGAGTCCGCGCGCGTTTTGTCCTTCTCCTTGCGCTGCTTGTCCTTCTCCTTGTCCTTGCCGTTTTTGCCGTTATTGCTGTTGGAATTGCTGCACACCGAGTCTCGGTCCGAGTCCAGAGAGTCGGCCAGAGACTGCACGTCCTCCCCCGCCGAGGCCGTTGGGGACTCTGGTTGTGCCAGGGGAGCCTGGGGTAGAGGATGGCGGGAAAGGCGTGATTAGAGGAGCGCTGTGCCCGCGTGGAGGCCAGGCCCTGCCCATGCTGCTGAGGCTGGGGTACGGCACTTCACTGTGCCATCTCGGTTACCTGTCTGGGCCCCAAGAACGGGATGAGAGTGCTTAAGGGAAAGAGTGGGCCCCCGGGCTGCTTTAGTAATAAAAAGACAGACCTGGAGGGAGGGCTTTGCAAAGGATCCCTGCAGGATCTCCTCTGCAGGTGCCATCTGGTGGGACCCTGGCTGCACCCACTTTCTCTCCCAACTCCCATGCCTGGTCGTCTAGAACTCAGAGTGGGAATGGGATCGGGCAGGTACAGTGACTCCTGAGCCCCTGAGCCCTGCACATTTTAGAAGAGGGTTAAACAGTGCCCTTAGAACGTCACTGGCTTTTGGAGCAAACACGTCCTGGATTCAGTGGTGGCAAGTCAATTTAGGGGAGCCTAGTGGGAATTATCTACCACCAAGTAAAGGTAGAAGTAGGAGAGAAAATGAGAAAGATTGAGAGAGGTTGTAAAATAGGCTGCACTCAGCAGAAACGATGTTGCGGGTTCTAGCAGAGGCTGCCAGTGCAGCCAGGTAAGGGGATACCAGAGAAGGAGCACCTCCCCGCAGGAGGGGTGACATCCACCAAAGCCAGTGAGAAGGTGGGAGGCCAGCTCAGGACAGCAGCGCCTCCTGCTGCAGTGCAGAGGGCTCTTCCGGAGAGGGGAGAGAGAGTTCTGACCCAGCACCCAGGGTCCAGCATGGTCCCTCAGGCTGGCAGCAGGGGACAGGAACTAACTCTTGTGGAATGGGCTTTCCTGGCCTCCAGGGGAGGAGCCTGGGGGCCCCTCACTTTTTATTTTCCACCATGTAGGTCCAAGAGGAAGGTGACTTTCTTGAGGCCTGGTCACTCAGAAGCAAGGGCCTCCCAGGCAGAAATGCCCCGGAAATGCCCTCTTTCCCCTTCCGGTGGGAGGGGTTTTGAAAGGTTACCGGGGCTGATTTGTCAGGGACCCTGGGGATGGAGCCAGGGAAAGGAGGGCCTTTGGTACTAGAAGCTGCCCTTGGGGGCTGGGTGTGGGAAGAGCACAGGGCCTGGCCAGAGTTGTCTGCTGAGAGAGCTCTGCATTTCACCTGGAGGCCACCAAGGCCTGGCAGAGGGCCCAGCTCTCATTGCAGGGCAAAGCTGTGCCCAGTGAGGAACTGTCCTGATTCCGGGTTTTGGACAGCTGTAGTCACACCTGAAACAGCACTCACAGCAACACTGGCATCCCCCAGGCTGTCCCTCGTGCCCTCAGTAACATAGGGTATTCGCAGCTGTCCAGGAGCCCTGTGTGGGTGACTGCTTACCATCCAGCAGGGGCAGAAGTAGGGGAGCACCGTGGGCAGTGCCCAGCGTGGTCCTGCTTGCTTTCCTCATGGCCTTTCTCTAACACTGCCTACGAGCCCCGCCTGCTGCCTACGTAAACTGATGTCTGGGGAGAAAGGATTATTTGCAAGCAAGCTTTACAAATCCTTTCCCTTGGAGTGCCTTACTGAGATTACAAAAACATCAATCAGTAAGATTCTTAGATGAATCTTTCTGAGCCTCTGCAAGCCAGGGCAGCCCACCCTGCCCCCGAGCTGTTAGCGCTTCTCCTCTCCTCATGCCCTGCCAGGTCTGCCCACTACCCACCAGCCCGCCTCCTCCCAGGACTCGCACTCTGGGTTCCCTGGCTTTTCCAAGGAGCCACACACGGTTTGTAATTAATTAACACTCCTGGGCAGCACATCTTGTCCTGATCTCAGCAGAGATAGGTTTCTGTTGTGACTTGCCTGTGGTTTGTTTTCTGAGTGGGTGTGTTTACCGCTCTCCTTCTGTAGAAAGTAAGGGGACAAAAATCTCCTAACCGGAAAGCATGCTCACACACATGCCTACACATGGGTGTGCATACACACCAGGGCCCAGGAGGTGTTCTGCGTCAGCAGGGTGGCCTTGGCAGTGTGTGGCTGGGGAAGGGGCCAGGCAGGGGAGGGAGCGTTTGGCAGAATGAATCCCCGTCAGGCTGCCCTGAGGCCACCGCCAGGGGCCCTGGTACATGGAGCTCACCCGGGTCTCTGAGGGAATCCGGATCCATGTCACATTCATGTAGCTGTGCAGGAGGTTCAGCTTGGCTTCCAGTGAGAGGATGAGGCTGCCGAGAGAGGAACACTAGGTGACACAGGCTGGAGTCAGCCCAGCCTGTCCTCCACCCGCAGGCAGCTGTCCCTGCTGGAGCGGAGCCCACCTAGCCCCTCCCCGAAGCCCTGCCGCAGCCCTCCCTGTGGGCAGGGTCTTACTGGGCCAGCCGGGCATTATCGTTGTCGTCCTTCCCCCACTCCCAGTCCTTCCCTGGGTCCACTGCAAAGTGCAGGGGCAGCAGTTTGTGCTCCGAATCCGTCAGGGGGATCACAGCTGGAAGAGAAGAGAGAGAGGTGGTGCCAGGCAGCCCACTTCCCAGCAGCTGGAAGGCTGAGAGTCCCAGCAACGCCCAGGGAGGACAGGAGGGGAGTTCCAAGGCCAGGTGTCCCTGTGACAAGTGAGCCCAGTGGAGGCTGGTACCAGCAGGCACTTGAAGGTGTCAAAATGACTAGTGTGAAACATTTTATATTTATCATGGACATGGCAGAGCGGTTGGAGGCATTAACCAGACTTTGTCTCTGGGTCTGTTAGATGGCAGGTATCCTTGGGGGTCAGGATGACAGAAAGTGACCCTGGCTTGTATTCCAAGGAAAGACCCAGGCAGGTGAGATGCACTGTACAGACACTGCTGGTGGCCTGCTCCTCACCTCTGTCTCATCCCAGAGAAAGGACAAACTGCAGATCGGGAGACAGACATTTGCTGACTGGTCATCCATGTGACAAGACCATCGGTACCTAGGATCCACGGACCCACCTGCTCACAGTGAGCTCATGGATACTGGACAGACAAACACTTCAAAATGTCAGGCCCACTTGAGCTCAGGAAAACCGCTAAGCAGCGGGCCAGAGGCACTAATGGTGGCAGCCTTCTGGGGGCACAGTGAGGGAGCCCCTTCGAGGTCCCACGTGGTAGGGACTGCAGGAGACGCAGAATTTCTCAGAGGGGTCGATACATCTCACAATGTTTTGAGTAAAGCGTGGGAAGTCAGAAGGGCTCGGCACAGGGGTGTCTCCAGGGGTCTTTGGGATCTGCTAGAAAGCTTGTGGGCGGCGGCAGGACCCAGTGAGCAGAATACCTGATGTTAAAACCCAACTCCTAAGGGCATGTTGGGGGTAATCAGCAGGAAGAAGTGGGGAGAAGGCGTTTGCAGTTTGCTCCCTTTAAGCGAGCAGCCCACTCCTCACGGGCTCCACTCCTGAGATCCCCACATAGCAGAGAAGCCCAGCCAAGGGCTGCTGACCACTTGCTTTGTTCCTTTGCTGAACCCTGAGTTCATGCCAGGGCGCCTTGGTGAGAACAATAAGGAAACACAAGCCCAGACCCAGTGGTTGCCTTTCTGCTCTAAGTCCCAACAATTGACTCGATGCTGCCCTCCAGTGTTGCTAAAGAGAAAAAATCACACTCTCTCCCTTCCCATTCGACTGCAACCAAGAAAGGGTTTGCTGACCAAAGCTCCATGGAGGGGTTTGTATACCCGGCTGGAGGTGGGACAGTGTAATGCTTGGTTTGAGAAGTCAGAGTCGGTTCACCCTGCCTCCGCCAAAGCCTGCTGGTTCTGCTTCCCAGGGCTGAACAGCAAACGGCAAGGCGGGTACCCCAGGGAGGGCGACGGGGCTGGAGAATGGAGCTCCTCCTTTGGTCAGTACCCATGACTGAAGGACCATGGCTCCATGAATCACTGCACAAACAGCGAGGGCTCTGCCGGTTTCCCGCCTGGGCCAGGGCGGCGAGGCTCTGCCTAGCTACGCTGCTGCAAGTGTGGTCCCTCTTGAGGCCCAGTCTCCTCACACAGTTGGCCAAGCTGAGAGCTGAGGAAAAGGGCCCAAGAATTACATTTCCATAAGCAGCTCCCTTGGCTCTTAAGACCAGACCATAGCGATTTGGGAGAATACTATTCTTGACAATAATCTGCTAAAAAAAAGTTCCTGTTGGCCCCACATTGGCTTTTTGGGCCTGGCTATCCTTCCCCTCCCCAGGGCAGGAACAGGAACCCAGCTGGGCCCACTGGCTGCCAGCAGGGTGATGTGGGAAGTGTGGTGCTGCAGTGGGAGCCAGGTGCCCTGCCCTTGTCTCCATCCGCCTCACCTGCAGAAGAGGGCGGCGCTAAGGAAGACAGAAGCAGGTTCCCACATCCCACAGTGGCTGCTGGCCACTCAGGGGCACTGTCTTTGCATGAGAACCTCACTTCTGTGATAAACCACTACGGTTTTGGTTTGTTTCAAAGAAACCAAGGTTTTGACAGCTCCGTACTGTGTGCCCTCGCATCCCTTACTGCAGGGCTCTGGGAAATTCCTACCATCCACAGCTCCCGCAGTGTGGACAGAATACATCTCAGGTGCTAGTGCCTGCCCCCCGGAAGGCTCCTGCTAACTCTCAGCCCACATCTTGGTGGGGTGAAGGCCAGGTCCTGAACACGGTTTAGGGACAAATTTGCTCACAACTCCAGATACCGTGGGTATAAAAGAAGGTCATTTGATCTCTGCAGAGGTAAGCTGTGATCTGCTTGAAGGCTGAGGCTTCAGAGTCCAGACAGCTACAAAATAGGCCTTTCTCAAGGGCAGCATAGTTGTGTGTGTGCTGCTTTCACTGTGCACAATGCAAATTCTTTTATGGAAGCCTGGGCTTATGCAGTGAGGGGCAGCTGCAAGACCAGTTGTTCTCTAGTGGCAAGTGTCAGCAATAACAATTGCCTTTGAAAATAAGCCTGAAAAGTGTTTGTTACTTTTGAAAGGGCTCTCTCTTATATTTTAGCTGGGAAACATACAAGCAGTATCTCAAACTAGTTGGGCATGTTTACTTATTTTCAAAAAAGAAGGTTTTCTTCTGCATGAGATGTAAAAGGCTGTCCCACTGTTACAATGATGAGTCTCAATTTGTCTTTTACTCATCAGAGAGGTGAAGACACAGGGGATCCAACTAACTCAGAATGTAAAGCGAGGCAGGTGCCTCCCAGGAGAGATGGGCATTAGCCTCAGAGGAGCTGACTCCAGGAGAACCTGGTAAGCAGAATTCATCTAAACTGGCTAAGCCAATGAAGGAGGTGTGCATGCTAGCAAAATACAGACCCTGGTAGGTGAAGATAAAAGAAATTCACATATGCGTACAGGTTTCTCTAACCTCTTGCTCAAAAGAAAAAAAAAGGCAACTCCAAGAAAATGTGCCCTATGAATTTTCTCTTTCTCTACCAGCAATGAAAGATGAAGGGCAGAGGGAAGGGCCACAAACACCAGCTGCATTCAGAGAATGTTTTCTCTTCTTCTCATTTAGAGTCTGTCTCAAGCGCACACCCAGGAGAAGGGTGACATCTCCAGCTCTCTGGATTAGACTGATTCTAGCCCCATCACTAAAAGCTAAGGAGAAATAAAGCCATTATTTCAAGGAATAAAATTGATTTACCTTAGTCTTTACTGCCCTATCAAAAAACTATGAGTTGGAAAAGACAACAGCAATAATAACAAAAAAAGAAAGCAAAAACAAAAATAAGAAAAAAAAAACAAACCAAGAAATACCCTCAACAGATGAACAGGAGACAAAGCAGTCAACACGGCAAGGTTTAAATGTGACACAAGTGTTGAAATCATCAGAGCAGGAATTTAACATCCTGATTGGTAAGTTAGAGGCCAACAGATGAAATGAATACTGTTCTGAATTAAAGTGTTGATTTCAGAGGAGAGAAAAAAATCTCTATGAAAGGATATAAGAGAAATGTTAGAAACGGAGAAAAGAGAAGAAAACAACAACAACAAAATAACACATGCAGAAGGGCTTGGAGTAGCTGATGAGTCGATTTTACAGAACTGAGGAAAGACTGGGTGGATATCAACATGGGCTGATTAAAATTACCCAAACTGAAATACAGAAGTAAAAAGGGGCTTGGAAAACAGAACAGAACCTTTAAAGGCTGTGGGCCAATAACAAACGGGCTAACATCTGAGTGAATGTAATGCAGAATTATTGAGAGAGAACAAGGCAGAAGAAATAGTTAAGAAAGTAATCATTGAGAAAGTTTCAAAATTCGACTGACACCACTATTGATCCAAGAAGCTCGGAGGCCATGAGGCAGGGACAATCACAATGAAACCATTTCTATGCATAGCAGCTTAAAAACTTCTGAAAACCAAAGACAAAAATAATATGTTGCTGGGTATGGTGGTACACACCTATAATCGCAGCATTCGGGAGGCTGAGACAGAAGGATTGCTGTTAAGTTCAAAGCCAGCCTTGGACTATATGGTGGGTTCAAGGCCAGTCTGGATTACAAATAGACCCTATCTAAAACAAACAAAGCAAAAAACAACAAAACACAAAACAGAAAATGTAGAAGATAACAGAGAAAATGACAGCATTATACCTAAGAATTACAGCAGAGTTTTTGTGATAAAATGTAAGGCAGAAGATGATGGCGTGGCATGTTAAAGAGCTGATCTACAGCTCTTTAAAAAAGTGCCAGTCTACAAATTTGTAACCAATAAATATATCCTGGAAACACAAAGGTGACTGTAAGGCTTTCTCAAACAAAAATGAGCTAAATGATTATCTGCAGACCTGCACTTGAAGAAAGGGTAAAGAAAAATTTTCAAGCAGAAGTATAGTTTCAGAAGCAACTTGGATTTACATAAGGGTGATTGGACAGGAATAAATGAACCTGAAAACAAACTTTATTTTTTGTAATTGAGACAGTGACAGTGAACCTTTTAGAGACAAGTGTCCAAATTACAATCCAAAACCCACTTATTGCAAAGTGCCAGGGCTGCAGTTAAACCTGAATACTGGGGTTTTACTTTAGAAAACAACACATAGGTTAACATCTTTTGTCTTAAAAGAAAAACATGTGCCATAAGTTTGCCATCACTGCTCTGAGATAACTTGCTTGTCTAAAGCAAAAGGAGTCCTGACATGTAATGTGTTCATAGTTGATAGAAAAGTAAAATATCTGATACTAATAGCACAAGGAATGGGGAGGATTGAAAATATATCATCTTAACATTTCTACTTAGTGCTGCAAGTATAAAATATTACTTGGAAATACATCTTTGGAGTAGGGGTGTGACTCAGTGTTAGAATATTTGCCTGCCACACACAAGGCACTGGATTAAACCCCCAGCACTGAAAAAAACCTCATGAGTGAAGATTCTTCTTTGTAAAACAGAGAAATCGGTCACAATTAAAACTAGAGATATAATAATAGTGCGTAAGGGGATACGTAGAAATGTTACAAAGCTCCAGTAACCCAAAACATGGCAACAGAGAAATAAAAGGAACAGAACAAACA